ACCGCAGCCAATAGGCTTCTCTTTGTCCCCGTGACCCGTTTCTCGTTTTTTTTTTTGCATATGACTGACATTCCAGCGGCGGCCAATGCGAAGCCGCCTGGTGCGCGCGGTGTGACGGAGAGAAAAAAAGAAAGGCGGGGTGGGACGTGGGGAGGGGGGGGGCTTCATTTGCATTGTGAATGACCCGGCTTTGGAAGCAGCCAATGGCCTGGCGAGGGCTAATTGGGCATGCGTGACGGGGCTGGCGGTGCGCGCGCCCTGGTGTATATTTCTCTCTCCCCCCTGTGTATATGTGTGTGAGGGAGGAGGGAGCGAGGGAAGGGAGGGGTGAGGGCGGGAGGGGGGGGGCGCCCTTGTTCGTAGCCCGGAGAGGAGGAGGAGGAGGAGGAAGGAAGGCGGGAGAAAGCCGTGAATGGTGTTTGGTTACAACCGGAGGGGACGACGCGACAGGCGGAGCGGCAGCCTCCTCTCTCCTTCTTCTTCTTCTCCCCCCCCTCCCTTCGCGACCAGCAACCGCCCGCCTGTCGCCGACAGCCCTGCCAGAAGAGGAAGCGGAGGGGCGGCGGCGGAGGGACGGAACAGCCGGACAACTTGGAGCCCTCGCCCTCCACCCCCTCCCCTCGCCTTCTCTCTCTCTCCCCCCCCCCCCCCAGCCCCCGCCCCCCCCCCCCCCCCCCCCCCCCCGCTCCGCTGGACGGGTCTTTTGCACATCTCGGTGCACACACACACACACACACACACACACACACACACACACACACACACACCTTCTGACCTTTGCAAAACTTGGGCTGCCTGTGCACGCACACCCCTTCCTCTCCTGCATACCTCATCACACCCCTTGCACAACTAACCCCTCCTGGCCTCTTCCTTCATCTCCTTCCCCCCCCTCCCCATCCCCACCCCCCACCCCCAAATATGCCTTCTGAGTTACCCCCTGCTGCCCACCAGGCTGAGACCCAGAGGTGCTCCACCTGCCGGGAGGATCTGAACAGGCCGTAGGAGGAGGACAAGACAACAGTGGCCCCTCCAGCTGTTTTATTGCCTGGGGGGTGATGAGGGGGGTGAGGATGGTGGCGGCCAGTCTTTAGAAAGGTGGACCCTCCAGCGGGCCTGCTTTCCGCATGGATCCAGATAAAGCGTGGCCCTGATCCCGAGGAGGAGAACCGGCCTGCTGACCTCGCCACACACCTTTCCAACCTACATCCGAAGATTTGCCTGGGCCACGCCTCCTCCTCCTCATTCCTGGGGAGGGAGAGGGGAGAATGGTCTCCAGACAGGTTCGCTGAGAGAGCCCCATCATCTTTGCGCCTTGGCGATGTTCTCCACAGAAAGACCCCCGGCAACGTTGCCCCCTTTGCCATCCAGGGGGCTAGGCATGTTCGGTTAGTGCCTTGTGGAGTGTGTGTGTGTGTATATATATATGTGTGTGTGTCTGTGCATGGTGAGAACGGGAGGTGAGAGGGGCAGAGCAATCTCTGGATTGAGTTACATCCCCATGAAAGGATGAGTGGTGGGATGTGAAGGCATTAAGAGCCCCCTAACCCCCAAAGGGATGACTTTTAACCTTGGTTGTATCAGATCCTGGTTTGCCTGCTGTTTAATATTGTGCTGATTGGGGGTTTGAGTTCCGTGCAGTAGAAGAAGTGGGGAGTTGGGAATTAGCCTCAAAATATCCTAGGCTGAATAAACATACAATGAGATTCCTGTCTTTTCTAATTCATCTGTTCGGTACAAGAAGGGAGCCTTGGATGTAAGGTTTCGGCTTATTGTTGCTGTCCCGGGACGGATGGTGGGATCCTGTTACCCAGAAATTTCCCAGATGGAACTTTTTTTTGGTTTTAGAGTGGAGATGTGATTGATTCACAGAAGTTATTAAGTTCCAGTGGGTCGGGATGCTGTTTAAAAGCGCGGTGGGTGAACTAAAGTGACAGCTCTGTTTGTGCACATGGCCATTCATAGTCTGTCCTCGTGGATGTGATGCGAAGTGGCAGGACAAGGCCAGCGCAAAGGCACGCAGTACGTTTCTTTTGATTTTGTGCAGTTCCTTTACAGGCGGGTATTAGATATTGTTTCTTTATGGAAGCAAACGTGCCCATAGGTTGCAGGATATAGTTAACGGTTATATAATTTGTGACATGAGTGGGATTTAAGTCCACCTTTTCAGACCATTGCTTGGTGTGGAGACAGCATTTCGGGCAGTTCCAGGTGACCAGATGTAGAAGAGCTTGTTTATTGTACACCAGGACTCTTAAATTCAACTTGTATGGCTTCAGTCTGGTCCTGTATGCAGTATTTATTTATTTTTGTCACGTGTTTTGATGGTTTTTTTCTTCACTTGATTGTGGCTTCACAAGCTGAATCTTAATTCTTTGCTTGGGGTGGGTAGGACGGCTGGTAGCCTCTGGCTGTTACATTTAAGATCCTTGTTTTCTGGTGGTGGTGGGGTCTTAATAGACCCCCCCTTTCTCATCCTTGTTTCTACTCTCCTCCTTCCTTCTTCCCCCCCCCTCCCCCCGTAATCCTTCTTCCTCCTGCATAGGGATGTGGTCACCAGCTGAGGACAGGAAGCGACTGAGCCAGCGCTTCCCGGCAGAGTCCGACCACGATGCACTCAGTGCTTTTAATAATTGAGTTAACTTTACATGCAAGTGCAGGGGGGGGAGGGTGGGAAAACAGTGTAGCCGATCCATTAGGGACTACGGGGAAGGGAAGAGGAAGGATGGGAAAAGAGGTATTTTTTTCGGTAGGCGTCTCCTGTGGGAGCAGGTCTGCTGCTTCTTCTCTGGGAGCAAAGTCAAGCCCTCTCCCCCACCCCAAATCTAATCACTAAAGGCAAAGTTTTAGTTTTCAGCAAGTACTTAAAAAGGGTTTGAAACAACACCCCCCCCCCAATAAAAAATTACAGACTCAGTCTGTAGCAAAGGTGATCTAAGTCCCTTCAGCTGGTGTGTCTCAATTCCTGGCAGCAGCAGAAATTCAGAAATCTGGAAATCTGCCCCATTATCTCTTTCCTGATCTTTTGCATGGAGATGCCAGAGACCCGAACCTGTGCCTTTACACATGCAAAGTACTTTGGGTTCCTTTCCTAACCTTCCCTGTTGCTGAAATGCTAAGGACAGAGATGTTGTTGTTAACCCTTCCAACACTCCCTTTCACGACCCTGTGATCCCTAACCCTTTGACACTATTCCTCTTTTTCTTTTTTTGTAGTCATTCGGTCATTTGTGCCCCAATTGGAAGTCTCTGGGAACTGGACACCCTCCGTTCCCTAGACCAGGGATCTCCAACCTTGGCAACTTTCAGACTTGTGGACTTTCCAGGAACTCTGGGAGTTGAAGTCCACAAGTCTGAAAGTTGCCACGGTTGGAGACCCCTGCCCTAGACTGTGGCTAAAACTTGATTGTTTCAGGTTTGCCTAATCTCCTTTGCCCAGCTCTGGATGTTCCTTGCAGTGCTGTGTTATCCTGCAGTGGAATGACTGATGCCAGTCGTGGCTCCTGCCCATCATACAGAATGCTCTCATTGCTTTTGATGATGATTGGCATCAATATGGCTGAACTGCGAAGGCCTCACGCTACAATCAGTGTTGGGTTCAGGGTTGTTGTTGTTGTTGCTGTTGTTTTTGTAAACATGGTCTCTCACCAGGATGCGAAACTCTGGTCTGTTCCCACCTGTTGCTGCATTAAGCCGTAGTTTCACAGTTATAGTACAGCTTAACCCACGCCGTACGACCCAATGGAGCCCAAAGGTTCTGTTGTTAAGTGAAACATTTATTAAGTGAGTTTTTGCCCCCACCCCCCACCCCATTTTACAACCTTCCTAGCCACCATTGTTGAGTGAATCCCTGCCATTGTTAACTTAGTAACACAGTTGCTGCATAAATCTGGCTTCCCACTTTGACTTTGGTTGTCCAAAGGTCGCAAAAAGGGGAATCCTGGGAACCCGGGACCCAGCCACGGTCATAAATATGAACCGGTGGCCAAAGCATCTTGAGTTTCGATCACGTGATCCCGGAAATGCTGCAAAGGCAACAAATGCATGCAAAGGTGACTGGGAAAAATGGTCACAGGTGCCGTTGTAACTCTGCATGGTTGTAAGTCTGCATTGACAAGGGAATGCCGCTTATTGGCAATTGGAGGTTGTGAAATGTAGTTTGAGGGTGTTGTAATGTGTGTGTGTGTGTGTGTGTGTGTGTGTGTATTCAGGCCTGTCTTATTTGTCCCTTTGCGTTGGCCTTTTCCTTCCTCTCAGAAGGTAGTATTGATAGAGGGGTGGGCAGAGCAGGAAGTGAAGGGGAGGGCAGGAGACGGCAAGTGCACCACCCCGTTCTTCATTTCGGCTCTAAATTGCCTGCAAAGAGGAACTGACCCCCCGCCTCTCTCTGCACAAAAGAGCCCCCTCCCCGAATCCCCTCTAGAGAGCCCGGGGTCCGTGTTTGGCTACCTCTGCCCTGCCCCTCTTGAGAGCTGCCGAGGATGCTCCCAAGCCTTCTAGCTGGGTGGAAGCCAAGCGGCTTGGCTGCCCCAAGTGAGCGTGGGAGACTGAGCAAGCGGGGCCCCTCAGCCTCTCCCTCCCCTTCCCCTCCTGCAGCTGTAAAATTCCTTTGCCTGGCTTCCAGCTGGGAAGGGCGGAGGACGGACGGCCATGGTTTTTGGCTTCCTGGCAGGCGGAGAAGAAAATCTCCCCTTGGGCCCCTTCCTGGGGGGGGGGGGATTCAAGTGACTAACCAGTGATAAGGCATGGCACGAACCGTGACTCCTAGGACCGAAAACTGTAGAGGAAAAACAAGGCATCTCTGCCAGGGAAAGGGAGGGAAGTTTTAAAGGGAAGGGAGAGCAACGTAGCCCCTAGTAACCCAACTCTCCTCTCGTCAGTTCTGGGCTCCTGTTCTTGCCATGCTCTGTTGTTGTTGATTTTTCTTCAAATTACGGGACTGATTAAATACTTTTGTGTGTGTTTGTGTGTGTGCGTGTGTCATTTTTCCCCCCCTCCTTCCAGTGTGGACAAATGTGGAGCCTCGATCTGTGGCCGTGTTCCCATGGCACTCACTAGTGCCCTTCCTGGCTCCCAGCCAACCAGATTCCTCCGTGCAGCCCAGTGAAGGCCAGCAGCCTGTCAGTCATCCGTCCACATCCAATCAGAACAAAGGTAAGGTGGGCCTAGTGGGGGGTGGGGGGGGAAGAAAGCGCATGCACAGATTTCCTGCTAAAGTCTCTGGGTAGGAGAGACTCTCTGGGAGCGAAGGGAGGCCTTTGCACAAACAAGTAAGGCAAGTTTGCGATACCCCTAACCCTGTGGAAGCAGCCCCCGATTCCATCCTTGGCCTTTGATGTTATCAGAACCTCCCGAATCGGCTGCGGTGGCCCACGAACTCCCCGGGTTCTCTTCCGAGGCCGATAGTGCAGGGAGGCCGACCCCCTCGCACCCTGACAGTCCCACTCCAGTCGCCCAACCTTCTACGGGGATTCCAGCAGGGAGCGGAGTCCCGTCTCAGCATGAGGATGACCTCCCAGGGCACCCACGCCTGGACAGCGAGACAGAGAGCGACCATGACGATGCGTGAGTACCCCGGTTTTGGGGTTGTTCTCTCTCTCTCCTTAGGCCGCTCGGACGACCAACCCTTCGTAGCTGCATTTCCTCCTGTTCGATTTGGGCAGCCTTTTTGCCCGGTTCGTGTTTTGCACTGTGATCCTTTGCCACCGGATTCCGGGAGGCTTGCTGGTTGTGCTTTGAAGCATAGTGGGAATTGGACGTGCAGCTGGAGGAAACCCCTTGAGGGAATGAAATTGAGCAACAGCCGGGAGAGAAAACCTTGGGAAGGAACCCCCAGAGGGAAATAGAAGCAGGAGTGAATGGAGGGTGTGGTTAAAAAAAAAACCCCAGATGCTGGTTGCCACAGAGAGATTGGCCCCTTCCCCTCCCTCCGTGTGTTTGTAGGAGGGAGGGGAGGGGAGGGAAGGGAAGGGTGGGATGTGGTGCCCAGTAGTGTTGAAGGCTGCTGGAAGGTCTCTGGGGTAGGTGGCTGAAAATGGGTGTGGCTGCCTTTGGGCCTTCACCTGACGTTTCCCTGCCTAGGTTCCTATCCATTTCATCTTCTGAGATCTCAATCCCACTACTGCCAGGCAAGCGGCGCACCCAATCCCTGAGCGCACTGCCGAAAGAGCGTGATTCCTCTTCCGAGAAGGATGGTCGCAGTCCAAACAAGGTTTGAGGGTGGGGCGGGGCTTCTTTTCCTTCGCCTTCCCATCTCTTTAACCCACCTGTTTGTAGGGAGTATTCCAGGGGGTAGTGGTAGAAAGAGTCTTCGGTCACCCTTTGCTTTTACTTGCAAAAACGTCGTTCATTTTGTCTGCCTTGGGGTAACGTAACTCTGGCCTTTTTCCCCTACATTCCCTCCTCTCTTCTTTTTTTTTTTGGTAGAGAGAAAAGGATCACATTCGGCGGCCCATGAATGCTTTCATGATCTTCAGTAAGCGACACCGGGCCCTGGTGCACCAGCGGCACCCCAACCAAGACAACCGTACCGTCAGCAAGATCCTGGGCGAGTGGTGGTACGCTCTGGGGCCCAAGGAGAAGCAGAAGTATCACGACTTGGCCTTCCAGGTACAGCCTCCTACAGAGCCTTGGTCAGAAAGGGGAGATCAAAGGTCCGAGCTCTGTTCAGGGCGTGCCACCGCCTTACTAGCTCGGCTGGCACGGCTGGCATAATATTAAGGGTCAGCGTTGTCCAGTATTCTGCCTCTGAGTGGTGACTACAGCCTGTTTCCAAGTAAGGGAGGAAATGCGATGACAGCTCGGATTGAATGAATCATCCAGCATGGGCATTTCAGCAGAACATTTCAGTTCCCAGAAAATCCTGGCTTTTGTGCCGTTTTAAAAGATGAGTTTTTATCTCCGAGGGCAACCACGAGATGAGAGCGTAGACGAAACACAAGTGAAATCTCAGAATTGGCCAGAGAAGATCTCCAACGTTGGCCAGCAGGCTTTCATTGTCTTAAGGCAGATTTAGATAGGAAACTGGCTTCAGAGTGGGTGAAGCTGTGCAGATTGATGGGAATTATGCAGATGCGGAGGTACGGAGGTTTGTGGTTTCACAACGGTTGAGAATCTTCCACAGTGTGGAATCTTTGCAGCTGGAGCAATGACTGGTTCCAGCTTAGCCCTCAACATCTGGAATCTCTCTGCTTGCAGTCTCTCTCATTCTCTCCCATCTTCCTCTCGCTCCTCATCGTTTTCTCCTCTCCTCTTCCCCCCACCCCCACCCCCAAGGTGAAAGAAGCCCATTTTAAAGCACACCCCGACTGGAAGTGGTGTAACAAAGATCGGAAGAAGTCCAGTTCGGATATAAAATCTGCTGGGCCAGGGGGTTGCCCCAAGGAGATGCGTGAACGTAGCATGTCAGAGACAGGTATTGCTATTTTACCTGGAGGTGAGCTATATATATGCCACCAGCTGTTCCCTGGTGGGGCTCCTCTGGACTTTTCTTACTTTTTCCCCCTCTTCCTTTTTCCCCCCCCATCAGTTGCTTCTGAAATGCTGTTGGGCCCAGACGTCAAGGCAGGTGTCATGGGATCCGGGCATTGCCACGGGGAGCGAATCCTGCCCTCAGCGTCTGATGCCCAGCGTCCACGGGCCTTTTCCCACAGCGGTGTGCATGGCATGGACAGCGACCGGGACAACCAGGTGTTGCAAGAGCTTACACAGGTAATACGTCTTCACAAGGAACCACAGGGCAATGGGAATCGAAGAAGCTTATGGGATGGTTGGGTTGTGCTTGACCTAAGAATTCAGGACACCACTGAGAGTAATGTTGCTTTTTGCAAACACTGTGAGTTCTCTTATGTCTAAGGTGGGAAAATATTTTGTGGCCACAGCAAAGTCTCATAAGTTTTTGGAAGTTGTGAGATCGACAGTGGCTGGAACAATGACACAAAGAAAGTGGAGCTACACTATACATACATGTGAAGTTGAGATTTATTTCCTAGATATTATAGACCGGCCTAGGCTTCTCATTGATTAAACCTAACACGATTGGAGAGTTTTCTGATGGTTCAGGGATGCAGGCTATCTTGGAATGTCAGGTTGTCCATCACGATTTAATTAAATATCCCTCTGTGGTCACCCATTGTGGCCTCTCTCCTTCATTCCCCACCCCCACCCCCAATTGTCAAACACATACACGTAACCTGAAATGGCAGAGTGCAGCATGAAGTCGGTACACTAGACAACACAAAAAACTTCTTGGAAAGGTGGAGCTTCTAACTCCTTAAGGTCATTTGATCAAGTGCACTTTTTCGGTTCCTTGGAGTGCCTTCAGCCAGTTCTGGTCGGAGCAACTAGTCTTGAAGGGCTTCAGGTGCCAAGCCATGAAGGCCTTCATAGGCCATGACCAAGAACTTGAATTGTACCTGGAAACGAATTGGAAACCCTTTACAGGGCTTGGCAAATCGGTGTTCTGTGTGCCCAGTGCAAAAAAAAACACACACACCCCCAAAAAATATTGTCTTCACCGACCATTAGAAGTTGCCTCTCCACGTCTTTAACAGTTGACTCTCCTATTCTTTCAGATTTGCTCGGGACAGTCTCCGTATGCCAGCGGGAAGGGTCAATATGGGGGGCTGGGCCCCTCAGGGTCCCCCTTCGCAACCCCAGGCGAGGGTCCCCGCCATTCCCTGCACCCACATTCCTCCCGTGCCTCTCGTTCTCAACGCACAACCAGTGAAGACATGACCAGTGACGAGGAACGCATGGTGATCTGTGAGGAGGAAGGGGACGATGATGTCATTGGTGAGGACCACATACTCGAACGGCTCTGGACTTTTTACAGCAGAAGTCGGATGGCTTTCTCCGGCAGACCAGGGAGAGTTTTCCAGGAACAAACAGAAGCCAGGGACATTTTGAGAGGGGTTTTCAATCGTTTTAAGAAATATGCCATTAATCAATCAATCAATCTATCTAATATGTATGTATGTATGTATGTGGATCTTTGGTTGTTCGGGTTTTCTCCCGCTTAAGATTCGAAGTATCTAGGCAACGTTTCGATGAAGTCTCATTTCGATGAAGTCACTCTGAGAAGCACAGAGCCGGAGACAGAAGCCTGAAGATGATGAATGAGACTTCATCGAAACGTTGCCTAGATACTTCGAATCTTACGCGGGAGAAAACCCAAACAACCAAAGATCCACATACAAATACCCGCGAGAACCTCAGAAAACATATATTTATTTATTTATTTTAAGGTGTATTTCTTAAAATGATTGTATGTGTATATATAGATAGATATAGATATAGATATAAAAAAGCGAAAGACCATTCACAAAATCTCCAGAACTGTACAAAATCTCTAGCACTGTAAAGCCTACGAACTTGAAATTTGGCACGAATCTTCCTCTTGGCTTTTAGTTTCTCACGAAGAAAGGATTTTTCGAAATGACCATCAGCGTTAGTATTACGTATATTATTATTATGAACACGCTCTGATGCTAAGGAGTTCTACTCCCCCTCCCCACCTGGAAAGAAATCTGTTCCAAATGCAAAACACAAGCAGAGGAGAGGAGTTTCCATTTCAGTTTTAGTTTCATAGCACCAAGCAGCTTTAGAATACCAATGGATGCTGGTAGGCAGAGGCAGAAAATTCCCCCCCCCACTTCCTCCCCAAAACTCAGCCTGACCATTGAATGAACTGTTGTAAGTCGAGGACTATCTGTATTATGAACAGCTGGTTTCTGAAATTTTGCTCTCTATAGAAGCTAAAAAATTAACTGCCAAGTAGAGACATCCATAGGATGAGATAAGGGAGAGGTGTGAAATAAATACATATGGATAGAAGATGTTAGCCCATCTTGGATTGCCTTGACTACATAATCTGACGTTTATCAAACGATAACTAGAAATTAAAAGGCGCTTCTTTTTTTAGCAGCAAGATCCTCTCTGAGGAACATTTTCATCTTGTTAAATATTGACCCAAGCTTAATTCCAGACTATAACGCATGAGCCACTTTCCTTTAAAATAGCTGGGATTTTCAAACGTTTTTCTTGAGCAACTTTTTAACAGCTGCCGGAATAAAACATAATAACCAGATTCCCTTACGTGGAATCTGTTACAGGAAATAGAAATTGGACATAAGGCAGTACCTATTTCCTTTATGAAAAAAAAAAAATGAGTGGTTCGGTAGAAGTGAAAATATTTTTTGTGGAGAAAATCCCAAAATTCAGTCACTATATGCCAAGAAACCCTGAAGAATCTTTGCTTACAGATGCAGGAAACAACGAGCTGTGCACCAGGGCTCAGGTTGTGCGAAAGCAGTAAGAACGGGAGAACCCACAATTCCTGCTTAAAGAAGATCTGATTGTATTCTCCGTAATCTTGATACTGATGGATCTGAATGACCTGTCCCAAAAGTGTGTCCCGTCCCCTCCAAAAAAGGCAGCTAGACTTTCTTAGAGTGATAGAATTGGAAGGGACCTTGGAGCTCTTATAGTCCAACCCCTTCCTCAAGCAGGAAACACCACCGTTTCAGACTAGTGGCTGTCTAGCCTCTTCTTAAAAAGCTTCCAATGATGTTCTTGTTTTTTTTTTTCTCCTTGAAGATGTTTTGTTTCTCATCCAAGATGGTGGATTTATATTCCTTGCAGTCATCCGGTTGTGGAAGCAAAAAAAAAAAATCAAAAAGTTGCCTTTTGAAAAGAACACCTTTGGGATAACCATGACCTGGATGACTGAGAATCTCCGTTCGGTGTCTGCATGCATTGTTTCACAGCTAGATGGCGGCCAGTTAGGAACCAGGCGTTTCTGCCTACCATCTTGTTCTCTGCCTTTACAGCGGTTTCTTGTGCCATAGTGATTTGCTGACTGTCGACTTCATTTCCTTAGTTCTTTGAGTACTCAGCTGAGCTGAATTCTTCTCAGCTGAGCTGAATTCTTCTTGCTGACTGTTGACTTCATTTCCTTAGTTCTTTGAGTGCTCAGCTGAGCTGAATTCTTCTTTAGAAAACCCTTCTAAGATTTCTAATATGTGCACTGGGACACACAGGGGTCCCTCCCAAATCCTTGTTGTGTTGGGCTTGCTTTTGCAGTCAGCGTATCTGCAGTAACACTATCTCCTGGCAGCCACCCTCTCTGCCCCTCCTCCTGGAGAGTTTTCATAGGGGAAGCGAGATGGGGAGACAGGATCTTGCTGACTCGTTGCTTTCCTCCTGCAGCTGAAGACGGGTTCAATCCGGCTGACGTCGACTTGAAGTGCAAAGAACGAGTGACGGACAGCGATAGCGAAGGATCGTTAGGGGATGAATCTGACGGCAAGGTGTGTGAGTAGCAAGAGGCTGGTTAGCACAAAAGCTTTTAAGTAGAGAAATTTGTCCCACTTTCTGCCCACCTAGCAGTTTGAAAGCATGCAAATGCAAGTAGATAAATAGGTATCACTTCGGTGGGAAAATAACAGGGACGTGAAAGGAGCCTCCTTGGGTTTCCGTAGGGCAATGGTGATGCCGCCAGCTAATCCTTCCAACCCGGAAGCGCCTCGGGAGATGCTCCCCACATGAATGTAGTAGTAGTAGTACGGTAGTAGCAGCACCAGCAGTAGGAATAGTAAAACAGAAATTGTGGGGGGAGCACAACTAAGTGGCATGAAAAAACCATTCTGACTTGGGAGTTCTTTGTGAGCCCCTGTATATCATGTTTGGGAACATTCACCTTACATTAACTTACGTGCCGTTCTTATGCATCTGATAGATTGAAGCTGGAGAAAGTCTTGTCTCAATTCATCTCGATAGTAATAGCACTTATATTTGACTTATATGCCGCTTTACAGCCCTCTCTAAGCGGTTTTGCAGAGCCAGCCTATGGCCCTCAGCAATCCGGGCCCTCATTTTACCGACCTCGGAAGGATGGGAGGCTGAGTCAAATTGAGCCCAGTCAGTGTCGAACTGCCAGCAGCTGGCAGTCAGCAGAAATTAGCCTGCTACACTGCACTCCAACCACTGCGCCACCACCACGGCTCTTGATGAGACTTGAACTGGGACCGGATCAGTTTTAAGGCTGCTCTTTGTTAGTCAGAACATCATCCCCGGGGCTGTTTTTAAGAGCGTTCCCTTTTGCTTGTAGGACTTTGGACGGAAGCTCTTCGCCCCGGTGATCCGGTCAGCAGCCCTGCCTCCTTCTTCCGCCGCTTTTGCCCCATGTCGCCCACCACCTCCTCTGGACTTGGAGCCGCCCCCACCGCCCCCGCCCCTACCACCCCCTCACAGTCACGAGGAGCAGCCCCCACCTAAACCTTACAGTTCCTTCCAGATGTCCCCCAGCCCCTTCAAGACCCAAGAGCCGCACGGAGCTCTCCGTCCCCACAACCCCCCAGCGAAGCGGTTGGAAGCCCGCTTTGACCCAGCCGCTGCCCCCTATAGGCGGAAGAGAGTGGACAGCGCGGGCAGTTCCCAGGGCCCTCCTGAAGCCGGAACGGCTCCTCCCTCTGTCCCCGCCCATTCCGTCATCTCTCCGCCCAGTGGGGCGGTGCAGACTGTGGTGCTGCCGGATTCGAGCCGCTTGTCCACTGGCACCGTGCTGGTAACCGCCCCGTCTCTCAGCGCCCCAAACATGGGGGTGATCGGCTACAGCGGATCGCCCAGCTTGGTCCGGATGGCATCCACCGTGGTCACCAACGTGGTCAAGCCGGTTAGCAGCACTCCTGTACCTATCGCCAGCAAACCTTTCCTACGCGGAACGGGGGACCCGTTGCCGCTGGTCAGCCCCCCGCCTCCCGACGGCGGTGCGAAGCCCGAAGGGATTTCCGTCAGCCGACTCGGCTTGCTCTACGCCGATAAAAAGACTCCACAGACCTCTGCCGTGGCTGGGATCCAAGCCACCTCTCCTCACTTAGTAGCTGGACCGCTTCTTGGCCAAGGCTTGGCTGCCGTAGGGAAGTGCCCCCCGGCCCAAGGAAGCGTCGTGACCAACCTCCTGGTAGGAACCCAAGGTTACAGTCAAGCCAGCGGTGCCGGAGGAGCTGGCGTCCCCGTGACTGTTTTGCCCCCTGGGGCCATCGCCCAGCAGCCTTCTGTCCAGTTCATCACTCAGAATCCCCCCGGACAGAATGGGCCGGTGCCCCTTAGCATCCTGCAGCCGCAAGGTATTTTTTCGGGCGCAGCAGGAAAGGCTGGGAGCATCACTCAGGTTCAGTACATCCTGCCTACGTTGCCTCAGCAACTTCAGGTAACCGGGGGGAAGATTCCAGCAGCCACAGGTACTCCTGCAGCCGCCAGCATTCACTTCACTCTGCCTCCCCCCAACGGAAAAGTTATCACTGCCCCACAAGCCATCCCCATCATCCAGCCCGCCCCAGGAAGCAACGGCAACAGCGTTACCGTCATGTCCTCGGCACCCAAAGGTAAGCGTTTAGACCACTGGGGTCCAACCTCTGTAACATTTCAGTTCAATTCCCCAGCCAGCCAATCAGGAAGGTCCAACCTGGCAACTTTTAAGGCTTGTGGACTTCAATTCCCAGAATTCCCCAGCCAGCTTGGCTGGCTGGGGAATTCTGGGAGTTGAAGTCCACAGGTGTTAAGTTGCCAAGGTTGAACACCCTTGAATTCTTGACCTTTTCATGGAACGAAACCTTGGCCAACTTTTCTTAAGGACTAGACAATCCCCTTGGGCCATCGTTTCAGAGATATTTCCTTATTTACACAGAACGACCAAGGGCAAAAAGGCAATGAGGGCCAGAGCAGTTTCCAATTTTAAGTAAATTTGACTACTGTTGACGTCCACTCCGGCAGCCAATGGGCCAACCGGTCTATCTGGTCTCCAGAAGATTAAGGCAGGACTGGTTTACTGATCTCTAGCAGATAAGATATAGCGGATAAAGGCGCTTGTTAGTTAACAAGTTTGATACTAGATGAAGGGTTGGTCTACTCACCCTTTGGAGGCCCTGGGCAGGTCCAGTCTGTGAAATGCCGAGGCAGCAGATCCAAAGCGAACACAAGTCTGCCAAATTTCCAATTCCATGGAAATTATGGCTCCTGGATTTTGAATTATGTTGTGTAAGTTAGTTCATTTAGAGTGGTGCAGTGACCTAGAGGTGGAATTCTCACCTCACAATCAGGAGGCTGTGAGTTCAATCCTAGGTAGGGGCAGATATTTCTGGGCACACTGAGAATATATCTGCTGAAGAAAAACTCCGCATTGGCAACAGGAAGGGCATCCAGCCACTAAAAAAAAAAAACATTCTGCTTGCTCCATTCAGTTGCCCTGACTCCACCCCATAAGGGATTATGGGGTCATTAAAAGAGGATGATGGTGTCAGTTAGCTCATTTGAGGAACCCCGTTGGATAAAGCTAGCAGATATGGAGATACACTTAAACCATTTGTTTAGCGAACATCTGAAGTTACGACAGCACTAAAAAAAAAAAAAAAAGAGGCTTATGACTTCGTCACACTACCGTTGCAGCTTCCCTGTGGACACCTGATCAGGATTCAGACCCTTGGCAACTGACTCATGTTTATGACGGTTGCAGTGTCCCGGGGGTCATGCGATCGATCTCCTTTTGCCACTTTGCAAAAGTCAATTGGGGTTGCCCAATTCACCGAACAACGGTGTTACTAATTTCACTGCGGTTAAGTGTGGCAAGAAAAGTTGCCAAATGGGGCAGAATTCCCTTAACAAACACCTTTGCTTAGCCACAGGAATTTTGAGCTCAATTGTGGGTGGTCAGTCAAGGACTACCTTTACTTCTGGAGGGGATTCCCTTGAAAGTGTAAGTTGAGGGTTATTGCCTGTGCAACTGTAGCCTCCTTATAATTTCAGCTGCAATTACATAATGGGGGGGGGGGCGTGTTTCATGGGCCAGATCTTCCAGTGAGGGTTCTTTGACCCGGGCGGCCTCCACCGAAAGTTGCACCGAAGTAACCGAGAGTTACTTCCAAGCAAAATATTTTAGTGCTTTGAACTCTTGAAGGCTGTGAAACAACTTCGTTCTGCCAGCTCTTTTAGTTCTTTTGCCTTGCGGTGTTCATCATGGGATTAGCTTTTTTTTTTTTTGGGGGGGGGGAGGGGTGCATTGTTTTCAACTGTCTTATTTTTAAAATAGTTTCACGTCTTTACACTGGTATCCTGCCCAGAGTGCAAATTGGAGTGTGTTAAAAGAAAACCCAGTAAAATAAATACGCTTCTTCCTCTCTCTCCCTCTCTCTCTCTCTCTCTCTTTCCCGCTCCCCCTCCTCCCCACAGTCCAGTCCGTGTCCCCTGTGCAGGCGCCATCACCCAGCAATTCAGCCCACCTTGTGTCTGGGCAGGTGATGCCCCCCGCAGGGCTACAAGTGCAAGGCAAAGTCTTGGTGCCTATGGCAGCCTCCCAGGTGACAGTAAGGACCACCTCAGCTGCCCAGCTGCCTCTGGTTACTCAACCTTTCTCTGTCCCAGTGCAAAATGGAAGTCAGCCAGCCAGCAAGGTCAGTATCTGCAGAACAGGATGAGGTAAGGAGGGAGAAGAGACAGGGTGGAAGAAAGCGGGAGTGATGAGTTGTTGAAATGCATTGTTGGAATGTATTTCTATGCAACAACTACAGTAGTGTTCAGCCAGTAGATGGCAGTGTTTACAGATTTGGATCTGTGATTTATACTCTAAGCTTTTTTGTTCTGAGACAAGTTTCCTGTTTCAGTAAAATAGTTAAGTAGTAAAACACATAGTGACTGTACTCTTTTTTTGCTCTATGGTGCTTTATATAAACAGAATTTTCCAACATGAATAAACAGTTTTGTATACTGCATAGTATAGATTTTATGATTGGCAGGAAGTGCAGGATGGGCACCAATTGTTTTGCTGCATTTTAGACATGTATCTGAAAGAGATTCCCTGCCCTAATAGATAGGTGAGTGTCAGATTCGTGAGGGTGATAGACAAGCCATAAGGATGGTGAGGGTTTGGCACAACATCCAGTGAAAGAGAATTTCTCAGTGATAAACATAGAGAACTGTAGCCTCAGAAATATATAGGTAGTCCTCGACTTACAACCATAATTGAGCCTGGAATTAGAGTCCTAGGTCATGGTCATTAAGTGGGTCACCACACAGCTGCACCCATTTACAATATTTTTTTTTTGCGACAGTCACTAAGCGAACATCACAGTTATTTAACAAGTGCATCTTCCTTAGTAGATGTTTTTTGGTGAAAACCAGAAATAAACACTAGAAACTGGCCAAAAAAAAGGTTGAAAATGGCAGTTTTATGACTGTAGGATGCAGCAGACTGTCATAAATGTAAGACAGTTGCCAAGTCACATGACCACCCAAGGAGTTGTGGCTATCAGAACTTCAAGAATGGGTTGTAAATAACTCTGGAGAGGTCCAGCATAACTTTGACCATTGCTCACAGGTTGTTAAGCAAGGACTACCTGTAATTCTCTTAAATTGCGAGGCTGTTTCTGAAAGATTGGGTTGGGGAAAGAAGTTGTGAAGACCAGGGGAAAAGAACATATATATTGCATACTAAAGGAAAGCATGCTTGGGGCAGAAGGAATCTCATACTGCCTGCTAGCAGCCTATCTGGATAAAGTTTATAATAACACCAGAATACCTCGAATATTTCATACCCTTAAGAAATACCTGGGATTGTTCGAATTCTGGTTTTTTTTTTATGAGAGTGGGTGTGTGTTTTGTGAGATAGATATCCATACAAATGTTAGATACCTGTGTACATATTGCACATCTATTCTGAAAAAGTGGGATCTCAGAAAAGAAAAGAGAAAAGAAAAGAAAAGTTCAGTCTGCTCCCCAGCCTGGTGTTCTCCAGATGTATCTGCCTGCAGATCTGCAAACATTTGGAGATTTCCCATATGGGGAAAACTGCATTCTTCGGGACTGCTGTTTAGAAGTCTTGAGTGCCTCATTTTGCTTGGTTTCTTTCTTTTTTAAACAACAACCTCTCAACCTCTGGACTGTGAAAACCAGAGGAAAAAGAGACTTAATAACAAAACCATCCTTCTGGGCCTGTCAAGTTTTGGAGGTTTTGCTTCTCCAAAATGCAATTCTGAAACAGTAAAGCACTTCATATATGCCTAAAGGAGCATAGTGAGCCTTGGTGGCGCAGTGGTTAGAAGGCAGTATTGCAGGCCATTTCTGCGGACTGCCAGCTGCCAGCAGTTTTGGCAGTTCAATTCTGACCGGCTCAAGAATCGAGCCGATCAAAATCGAACTGCTGAACAGCTGGCAGTTGATGCAGCCTTCCAAACTTCCGAGGTGGGTCAAATGAGGACCCAGATTTTGGAGGACAAGAGGCTGACTCTGTAAAACCGCTTAGCGGGCTATAAAGCACCGTGAAGCGGTATAGAAATCTAATCGCTGTAGCTATTGCTAAAGAGAACCACAGTCCCCCTTTGCTGGTGATCACCATTTCCTGCCCATTTGTACTTCCTCTCTCTTCTTCCCTGTTGTAGTAAAGACCGAAACCCTACGTGGTGTCTCATGCAGACTCAGTCATCTGTCTCCAAGTGTATTTGCATACTATGGCTTGCTAAATTTCTTTACCGCAGTGGTACAGATTTGGTAAATGACATTGCATCTGGGTCTGGTTTGGCTCCATTTTTTATTTTATTTTTTTGCTCCTGGGGACAAAATGTCTCGCCTCCAACCTAAGGCCTCCTGGTGTTCCTCTTGGCTGCCTGTGCTGATCGAGTCTTTCTGCCCTTTCAGATTATCCAGCTCACTCCAGTGCCAGTTGTCCAGCCTCAGCCCCCTTCCCAGAGCAGTGCCACCTTGGTGCCCCCACTTAGCCCTGCTGCGCTCCAGGGCACCATGGCCACTGCTGTCATTGGTTCCCCGAGCCAGGCCCAGAAAGTCCTGTTGCCCTCCTCCTCCACCAGGTAGGACTTTGCAATGTTGGTTCATAGCACTGGATCTTAAAGGCACGGGGAACATCTGTGCCTGTAGCCACTGCCGTAAAATAACCCTCCGTCTTTTTCTTTCTTTCTTTCTTTCTTTCTTTCTTTCTTTCTTTCTTTCTTT